GGAGAGGATCGCCCCCCTGGTGGACCGCAGCGTGGTGGAGGGCCAGGTCAAGCCCGCACTCAGGGAGCTGGCCGAGGACCCCGACGCCGACGTCAGGTTCTACGCGGCGCAGGCCCTCTACGGCTGCGACGCCATGGTCACATCGTAGCGGCGCAGCCGGAGGGCGGGCGAGGCGGCGGGATGCGCCCGGGGCGGCGCGCGGTGCCCCAGGGGCCCGGCAGGCGCGGCAGGCAGCGCGCGTGCGGCGCCCCTGGCTCGCCTGCGTGCGCGGCGCGGCGGCGGCGCGCCGCGCCTGCGTCCGAGTTTGCTGGTTGTCCGGTTTCTTTGGATAGTAACTCAGTGTCCCGGTGTCGCGCGGCGGCCGCTGGTGGCGGGGCCCTCGCCCCGTCTGGCCTTGGCCGGCACTGACGTGACAGGTGACGATTTAGTTTTGCTCTCTGACCGGCTGGGTGCACGCGCACATTAAGTGACCCGTCCATGACGTGTAACGACATTCGAAGTTTGATGCCCCTGGTAGCGGCTGGCGTCAGTTGATGAATTTACTGCACAGCATGTTGGAGCAGCGCAACACAATCAAGTACGCAATGGGTCTGGTGCACTGGCGTTGGCAGGGCCGCGAAGCTGGATGCTAAGAAGCAGCGCGCATGGCAGGGGGCACGGTGGTTCTGCAGTGGGGCCAGACAGTGAGTACAACGGGTGACGGCCCGCGCACCAAAGCGACTGCACGAGGGTACTAAGACGGTGATCATGCTTAGCAATAATTTATTCAAGGTCGGGTCACCCGGTTGCTTGCTGCTGGAATCACCAGCTCGCTTCAAGGTGATTTCCGACTCAGCCAGTGCTTCCGGCGGGCCTCAGCCGCTTCCACGTTGTTTCGGATATAGGACCCGTCCCTTACGTGTGCGCAGTGAGGCCTGGAAGGGGCGCAAATCCGAACGCGTTCAAACGCTCGCGCCACTTTTGATCAAACGAAAGCGCACAAACTCAGCTTTTTTCAATCCGTGCAGCCATTCACAATAACTTTGGTCGGTGTCACCCGTATACAATCACATTTTTGCTTGATTGCAAGCACCTCTCCTTCCGCAGCCAGGATGTCCGTGCTGCAGTCCCTCGCGGGGACGATCGAGCCCAGCCCTCTCTCCAAGTATGAACTGGAGCGTCTGGATAGGATCGAAGCCAACCGGCGGCGTATGGGTGAGCCCGCGCGATCGCGACCAGCCCGGTGATGTGCTCTCGCCACCCGACCCTGCTGCAGCGTGCCCGGGTCAAGCCCTGACCGAACGCTCACCTCACCTCACCCGCCCCCATCCCCTACCCCGCCCCTCAATGCAGAGGAGCTGGGTGTCCTCGAGACCGCCCGCAGCCTGATGGACGCCATCAACGCCAGCAAGCCGCCGCCCCGCGCCCCCAGGCCGCACAAGCCCAAGGTGCGTGTCACACACCCCGCCGACTAAGACCGGCTCCCCTCACCCTGCCGCCGCCTCCGAGCGCACCAGCCGCCCAGCCCAGCCTGCGCGACCGCGATCCAACTGCTCCCTCTCGAGCCTCGAATCGCCCGCAACCCCCGGCTGCCCCCGACCGCCCTTCCCCCAAACCCCACACACCCACCCGCGCCCGCCGCTACGCCACCCGGCCGACCGCAGGGCCTGCGCCCGCGCCCCGCCGACGCGCGCCGCTCCGCGCGGCTGGTGGGCGAGGCCCCCAAGTATGGCGAGATCAAGGGGGACTTTGATGAGGCCGTCACCTACAGCGACTACGAGCCCTCGGGCGGCGGGCTGCACGACCTGCTGGCGGGTGCGCTTGTGTGTGTATGTGATGACACGTGTGCGTGTGTGTGTGTGTGTGTGTGTGTGTGTGTGAAAACGTGTGTGCGCTTGTGTGTGTAACTGCGTGTTTCAACGTGTATGTACGGGTATCTGAGTGCGTCGGGGGTGCATTGTTTGTGGAAGAGGGAGATGTTTTGGGGTTGCATTTGTGACTCGGTCTGCGTTTGCGGGGACGGCCGGGGGCGGCAACCCTATGAGGGTGTTGGTGGAGGCTGCCAGAGTGCCGGGCATGCGTGCGCCGCGGCTGCAGCCCAGGCCAGCTGGCGGCTGGCCCAACCTGGCGCCCTCATCTCCACACGACGTGCCGGCTTGCCGCTCCCCTCCCCCCCCACAGCCC